CATTCATGTTAAAATTCGACACTTTCCAAAAAGGACTCAACAAACACTTGAACTATCTCACCCATTACCAAGATAGTTTCCCCAATTATCACCTCTAATACCATTAACTCACAAACATCCCACTCTCCCTACCTCTAATATCATCAATTCACAGACACTTACCTTCCTTCCCCCTCCCCCCCACCGCATCCCCCTCCTGTTCTGCAATGTGATTTGTCCTTTTCATATTTGTTCTTTTTTTTAATTGTATCCTTTGGTATATACGGTTGTGACTACTTTCTTCCACTATTTGATCTGAGGAAGTGGGTCTGGCCCACGAAAGCTCATCATCTAATAAACCATCTTGTTAGTCTTTAAAGTGCTACATTGTCCTGCATTTTGCTTCAGGTGAAGAGGGGCGCTATATACAGAATTGCAGCTCACTTGTACCTGAAAAACCATAGCTAGTGTGGATATTGTACTGTTAGTATTCATATTGATGGTGTCCCATCAGTTTAGTTACAAAGAGTTATATTGTCTATGGTAAAAAAGGGCATTTAAGTAACCACACCTACCTTACCAGTGTAGCTTCCAATTGCATAGTCAAGAGATACTGGAAACATATGTTTCTGTGTTGATTTGTAGGTCACAAACACATATCAAAAGGTTATTATACCTGACATAATATGTTGCATTTGTCATAGATTATCCTACACCATCCCCTCTGAATAAATCAAGAGAAAAAATCTCGGGTAACACAATAATTAATCTGTACTAAGACAGTCAACTCTGACAGCCTACATCACCTTCCACACAGCTATGCCCATTAGAAATCATACTATTTCACACCCCTGACTGACATACCCATGCCAGCGAAAGTCTCTATGGATAAGACTCAGAGTTAATTAAACAATGGTACATATATGTCTACTGCTCTCTAGGGCAAAGAAGAAAAAGCAATTATCAAAACAAAAAACAGAGCAAATCAGACTCAATTGCCTTCAAAATTCACAATTCCAGAAGCTGCTACTCTCTCTACTTTTGCTAAATAAAATCAGTTTAAGTGAATCTATTGAAACGTTTTAAGAAATCTACTTCTGTTTGGTTTAACCTTGGAATGGACTGGTGCACAAAAATAGACAAGTAGAGACAGTGAAAAATGTGGTATTCTGACCTCAAGCAGACCTGGCTAGAAAGAACGACAGCATAGAAGTGTTAAGATGTTTGGTTATTCTAAAACTGCTAAGAGATAAAGTGAATCCAAGGATAGAGGCATTTACTACTGGTAGATGGGGGAGGGGATGAAAAAACAAAAGCAAAAAGGTAATCAGGAAAAGCTCAGCATAAACCACATAAAATAGTAAGCTAAAACTGTTTATTTTAAGTAGAGTGAAATTTTATCTGTAAATACTAAGCCAATATATAAATGTATATATCCTAACTACTACCAGTGTAGTAGTTTGAAGAAAGAAACCCAAATTTTTGCTGAAGGTTATATTTTTCCTTCACAAAATAAATTAATTTAATGGATTTAGTCCAAATAGCTACTTATAATAAAGATATACTTGTTCATGATCGCCCTCAAAAATAAGAATTCAACAAGCTAAATTACTCAAGCTAGGCATGCCAGATGAAACTTGTTTGAGAAAAAAAAAATCACCCAATACAGAAAAGACCAGAAAATACCCTCGCAGACCAGTTCCCCTGCTACCCTACGCTCCAGCCTCTGATACAGAGTAGGGATGTTAAGGACTAGTTGCCCATCTGATAAGCCAGGGGTGGCCAACCCGAGGCTCACAAGTCGCAAGAAAAAAATTGCGGCTCCTGACAGAACCGGGATGGAACCCGGAACTGCTCAGGTCAGTTGTATGCATGCTCACAGCCCACGCAATTCCGCTCACGGCCCCCAACGCATTGCATTATATCCTGCATGTGCAGGACAGGTCGCACACAGCATCCCAGCCTGCACATGCTAGCAGCTGGCCACTGAGCACAGGCAGTGGCTTCTGCTGCAACTCCAAGACCAAGGAATAAAGTTGAGAGGGAGAAATGCCTGGCCCTGGCTGGAGGGAGAGGGGGAGGGGTGCATGGCATCCCAGATGCAGCGCAGAGGCAGGATCCAGGACCTGAGCATAAGTTTGGAGGGAGCAGGGGGGGAGATTAGGTTATAGCAGGAAGGGGAGGGGTCTGGCTCTGGGGAAGGGAAGGGGGATTGGGTTGCGCAAGGCATCCCGGCCAGCTCACGCTCAAAGCCAGCCACTTAGCACACGTGTCCCAGTGCCTGGAGGGAGACGTGCGGCTGTAGCAGTGGCTCTAGGACTCGAGAATTAGGTTAGAGCGAGGGAAGGGGGACTAGGTTGGGGGTGTATGCCTGGCTCTGGGGAAGGGGAGAGGGACTGAGTTAGAGCAGGCCTCTCTTCCCCTCCCCTAAACAGCTGGCACACTTCCTGAAATGCCAGGTCTGTCACAACACCAGGACTTTTCCCCCTGCTGCCTGCCTGTGCAGGGTGTGTATGTGTGTAGGAGTCTCAGGACTGCAGGCCAGCTCCAACTTCTCAGGAAGCACTCGGCTGTCGTGGAGAGCAGAGGAAGAGCGCACGCTTCCTGAGAAGTTGGAGCTGGCCTGCAGTCCTGAGACTCCTACACACATACACACCCTGCACAGGCAGGCAGCAAGGGGGAAGGAAGTCCCTGGCAGAGTGAGACCCCGGGCATTTCAGGAAGTGCACTAGCTGTTTAGAGAAGGGGAAGAGCATCCCTGCTGCTTCCTGAAACCTGGGATCCCCAGGTACTGGCCCCAGCTATCTATAACCCCTCCCCCTGGCCAGACTCCTCCCCCCCCACAAGCACCCTGTCCACTGCCCCCACCAGCAAAGTTGGGGCCACATTAGGGAGGTTTGGGGGGAGGGGTTGGAGGGGTTGTTTTTTTGCATCTCACTTGACTGACTTTTCTGTGGGTCAGTGACCCCTAACTCAGAACTGGTTCCCTGCCCCTCTCATAAATAAACACAACACTGAAACATTTTGTGTTTGACATAATATTTTATTCAAAAATGGGGGCTTGGCTGGGGCAAGGCTTCATCTGACCACAGCATCATAACACTCCTGCACTCCCCAGACCACAAACCTGAGTCTATCACACACTGGAACCCCTTGTCCTGAGCCTCTCATCCCCAAACTCCTGCACCCCCACATCCCCAGTCTTCTGCCACAACACTCCTGCACCATCCACACACTGCAAATCTGTGTCCTGAACCCATCATACTCCCAGCCTCCCTGCCCCGAGCCCCTCGTGAACCCCAGCCCAAACTCCTGTACCCTCACAGCCACAAGCCTGCAGCTTGCTCAGCACCTCAACCCTCCACCTGACCCCAACACTCTCCAGCCTGGAGCCCCATCCCTGAGCCAACATCCTCTTCTCTACTTTCTCCTGCACTCAAATTCCCTCCCAGAACTTGCACCTCTCACCCCTTCCCAGTGCTTTTTTTGTGAGCCACAATAGCAGTGGAGAAAGTGTGAAGAGCCAGGGCAAAGTTGTTGAGCTAACAACAACAACAACAACAAAAACCCAAAAAACAAAAACAAAAAGGCAGGACTGTGAAGACCAGGGAAAAGTTGTTAAAAAAAAATACAGCTTTTTTTTTTGGGGGAGAACTTGCACCTCTCACCCCTTCCCAGTGCTTTTTTTGTGAGCCACAATAGCAGTGGAGAAAGTGTGAAGAGCCAGGGCAAAGTTGTTGAGCTAACAACAACAACAACAACAAAAACCCAAAAAACAAAAACAAAAAGGCAGGACTGTGAAGACCAGGGAAAAGTTGTTAAAAAAAAATACAGCTTTTTTTTTTGGGGGGGGGGGGG